TTTTTTTTTTTTTTTGCATCATAAAAACTCACATTTGAATTCATAAATCTGTACAGAAAAAATAAATGAGTTGCTTAAAAAGAAATAAATTTTATTTTATTATAACCAATTAGAATAATTTTGTCATAAATAGGTAAATAAATAAATAAACAAATAAAAAATAAATAAAAAATCAGTTTTTAATTTATCTAATCGACATTATTTTATTTGTTTATTTTTATTTTCTCTCCTTTTTCCAGGCAAGATAAAAAAATACACTAATGACTTAAAAACTTAACATTCCTCATGGATTCAAAACCAGCAAAATTACTGATAAATTACAATAACTGCCAATTTTTTGGCAGAGTAAACGAAGTAAACCAAATAAAGATAAGAACTTCAAATTTAGTAGCACTAATTTTTTAAAATGAATAACGCTGTCACAAAAGTCTGTCATCTGATTGATAAGTTTCGCTTACAGCTTCTCATAAGGAGACCAGTTGTATACGGTACGAGAAAGGTGAATCTGGAAAGATTAGTACACCAAACTATCCGTCACCATACAGTTCAAATGATAAATGTCGATGGCTTATCGAAGGACCAGTTAATTCACGAATACACGTAAATGTTTTATACCTTTTTTTCAGCAAAATGTTTAATAAATTTAATAAGCATAAGAAGTTTGCAAAAATAAAATTTTACCTGTTTATACACTTGCGTTTTGTGTTTTTTCAGCTCTCATTTGAAGGTTTTGAAACAGAGGAATACCAAGATTTGGTCACTATTTTGGATGGTGGTCCAGCTGAAAATTCGTCAGTTGTTATGGGTATTTTTTCTGGCAAAGAGGTACCAGATGCTATGACTTCTAGTACCAATGTTATGATCGTTAAATTTGCTAGTGATGCACAAGTGCAAGCACGTGGATTTCAAGCTAACTGGAGAACCAGTAATATTTTGTTTTTAAAAAAAAAAAATATAAAGAATAAAGAAAGACTATGCTGGGAAAAACTAATCAATTAATTTGGATAAGTATATTTACATTTTGGATAGTGCTCTAGCATTATAAGTTTTTGTATACAAATTTTAATAAGTTATTCTGCAACTTTCTTTTCGTTATCTGTCATAATTTCTGCTGCAATAATCGCTTACAGTTACCGTAGCCTGCGGAGGTACTTTGAAAGCTCAACCGTACGGTCAAACGTTGTCGAGTCCAGACTATCCAAAGCCATATCCGAACGGTTTGGAATGCGCATGGACCATTGACGCACCAAAAGGCCAACTTATTTCACTTAATGTATGAACAGATACTACATTTTCGCTTTTCTTACAAATTAACCAATTTTGTTGGAGTCGTTTTTTTTGATTAATGCTTCGCAATTACTTTTTTTTTAAGGTGGAAGACTTGGATTTGGAATCAGCGCATGATTTTTTACTTATCTATGATGGTTCATCACCGTCCGCACCAGTCTTGGCCAGATTATCAAAAGCTTATTCACTACCACAGCTTATTACTTCCAGCCAAAATCGTCTCTACATATACTTCTACTCTAATTATGCTCAAAATGGCCGTGGATTCAGTATTGTTTATAAAAGAGGTAAACTGTCGACAGTAGCTGAAGCAGACTTTTTTTCTTCCTTTTTAAATTTCTGTTCTGTTAGATAAGTGAGGAGACAATTCTTTTACTCAATTTTTGTAAAAAAAAAGAACAATTTTTTAAAGGCTTTTTTAAACAGGTACGTTATTGATAGTAAATTGCTATTTTTGACGTATTTTGTAGGTTGCTCAAACACAATACGTCTGAATGATGGGGTTATTGTATCGCCTGGTTACAACAAAGTCCCGTATCCAAATTCACAAAAGTGTATTTATTCAGTAGAATTACCAAATGGCAAAATTGACCAACCATTAGCATTTATTATAAATAGTTTTGACGTAGCCGACGACGATAGATTTTTGGTACACCATTTTTAAATCTTCAAGTCACTTGTTGATTAGATTATCCCTAATAAAACTACCTATTAAATACCACTTTTTTCTTTAAACTAGTTTTAATAAAGAATATTTTTCGCTTATTCAATTTTTAAAAAAAAGAGAACGTTTTATATAGATGTACGAGGAAACTGAAGGCGGAAGACCATTACATACGGGTGATGGATTTAGTGCGGTTAATCCGCCAGCAAAAAGTATTTTCTCACAAAAGAGTATCGTACAAATTGTTTTCCACACCAATTCAATTCGCAATGGTCTTGGCTGGAACATAACTTTTTCAACTAGTAAGCTGTTTCGTATTATAATCTTATGCATAGCCACAAGTATGCTGTTAGGGAAGATTTGATTTTAATACTTTGTCGTATTATAGATTGCCCACCACTAATAACACCAAAGTTGGTATCTTTATCCACCAGAACGTCAGCATTTGGAACCAAAGTAACCGTATCATGTCCGAGAGGTTATGAATTTGTTACCGGCCGAGGACAAATGTTTGATGTTACCTGTGAGCTTGGTGGAAAATGGACGGAAAGTCGAATTCCAGATTGCCAACGTAAGACAACTGCATTGCTTATTTAAAATTAAAGAAAAACTTGGATATAAGCTTTGTAATAGTATTAAACATACGTCCGAATGAAAGTTAGTTAAATAAAAAATTTTAAATGTTAATTAGAAGTACAACACATTGTCGTTTTTCTTACTGCAAAAAAAACATTGTAAACAAACATTTCTTTAACCTGTAAGTAAAAAGAAAAAACTTTTTGAAAAAAAGTTGTTGCTGAACTAGGTTACCATTCATAACGTGATGCTCCTTGTTTTTTTAGCGGTTTATTGTAAAGCAGTTCCGCAAATCGCTAATGGCTTTGCTTCATCGGCTACAAACGTTTCATTTGGCGGTTCGTCAAAATACAACTGCTATGACGGTTTCAGCTTTCCAAGTGGAAAAACCACAGAAGAAATTTTTTGTACCGATGAAGGAAGATGGACACCAACCCCTTCTTGCAAAGGTACCAACAATGTAACCATTTGACATTGGCAATCGAACAACGAATAAAATAACAGTGCTTTACGCACTTCTCGCTCTGATATTTGCTGATATATAGCAATATTATTTAGCTCAAACCTGCCCAGCTCTACCACCATTCACTAACGGGGATCGCATATTAGAATTCGGAGATGGTACTGGCTACGGTACCGTATTTCGTTTCGAATGCGCTCCTGGATTCAAACGAACTGGTGCTGCAACACTTTTATGCCAGGCAACTGGTGAATGGTCGTTTGAACAACCTTATTGCAAAAGTATGTTGCAATTAATTCGAACTTTCTTAAAAAATATTTGTTTCAAAAATTCTCCCTTAATTTTGTCGTTAAGCTGCATCATTGGCAACTGCTAGTTGGTCAATAAGCTGCTTTTAGAGTTATCATGCACAAATGTTCCAAGAATCGCAAATGGTGTTATTGTAACTGGTGAAAAATTTGAATTTGGCGATTCGGCACATATAGAGTGCCATCCAGGATTTCGGACAGTTGGTGTCGACTCACTTCGTTGTCTTGCAAATCAGACATTAAGCGATGTTGCTGAGTGTCGGGATATTGACGAATGTGCTGAAGGTCTAGCTGTATGCAGCCCGCAGAGCACAAAATGTATTAATATGCCAGGGGGCTATCACTGTCAATGCTTGGCTGGCTTTCAACCGCAGCTGAGTGAGATTTAAAACAGCCTGAATTAAATGTTTCAGACGTTCAGACACTGTAATCATTTTCTGATCAGGTTGTTGTTCAAATAATAAGTATTTCACTAATTTCAGCTTGCACGCCTGCCTCAACTTTGAAGGCAACGTCCATCGAGGCTTCATCTGAGAAAGAGCAATTCAAGGCTGAAAACTATTCAACAACTGGTAAAATTGTCATGAGCTTGTCATTTGCACTGTGGAGCTATCACACTTTGCTAAATTATCAAATAACGTTAAAGTACAACATGATATTAAGGCTGTATCAATATAACACTTTTAGGATGGTGCGCCGATGAGGATGATCGTCAGAGGACAATCACTTTTACATTCGCGGTACCAAAAATAATAGAGCGAATACGTATCGAAAAAGTGTCAAAAGAGGCTTATCCAACAGAATTTGAGATCAGATATTCAAATTATACCGGAGTTCCGTTGGAACATTATTTAGCTGGCAACATCACAGTAATTTTACTGCTTTTCTTCAACAATTTTTCTTAAATTTACAAATTATTGCTCAGGGTTTACTCACTTTTTATGATTTATGTGTTTTTATCTGTTTAGAGCTTACAAACGCGTAATGTAGCTGTTGTTGGTGGTGAACTGCTGGTGCTTCCAAGATCTATTGAAGCTCGAGTATTTCAGCTGGTTCTCAAAAATTTTTCGCAAGAAGCGTGCGCTAAGTTTGAAATTCTTGGCTGCCATAAAACTAACTGTATTGGTAAATTTTTTGGATTTATAGAAAGACTTGAAGAGCTGTTTAGTACGTATGCAATTGATTCTTCCTTTTAGACATTAATGAATGTGCCAATAACAATGGAAATTGTGAACAAGTTTGTATCAACACACAAGGATCTTATCGTTGTTCATGCGAAACGGGTTACGATTTATTAATTGAAAATGGTCAGGGCGGAGTTTTTATTAAGGTAATTCGCTGTTTGTCAATTTTTTTTTGTTAAAGAGATCTTTATAAGTGGTATCAGGATTCGAACAACCAATCTTACTCTATCAGTTTGTAATTTTACAGGAAGGAGAAACTGGATCGAGTGTTTTGGATAAAGTTCGATTTAATCAAAGTTGCGTTCCTAAAACGTGCCCAAAACTTACTGCACCGGTTAACGGGCTGCTGTTGACAACGGCAAAAACGTTCCATTATCCACTAGTTGTTGAGTTCCAATGTCGCTTTGCTTATCAGGTGAGTTTAAAAAATTAAAATTGTTGAAATATTTTACTTGAGTTTTTATCACTGCTTTTAATGTAGTCTTTGTGAGTGTTGAATATACCTTCTTCGTAAGAATTGAAAAAAAAGGTTATAGATGATGGGACCAAGTCATCTAAAATGCATGCAAGATGGGACCTGGAATGGAACAGCACCATTATGCATTCGTAAGTCTCTTCCTTTTCAATTAACTCAGTAAGTACAGGTTCAAATTTAACAGAATAAATCTTTTTATATTCTGATGCTTCTAGTTTTACAATTTTAGCAGCAACGTGTCAGGGAATTCGGAACAATTCAGCTATTGGATTATTTGTAACTCCAGAAAATAACACGATTGCATACGGTGGCAATGTTTCTATTGTTTGCAGTCAACAAAATCGTCCAGGTTAATTCTTGAAATCTATTCATTGTCTTTAATTCAATTGCTAAGAATCAAATTATTTTTTTCTGATAAAATATCTTTTATAACAACTACGTAGCATTTTTCAGCTGGTAACTCTCTCCTGGCTTCATTTCGGCAATGTATTTACGATCCACAAAAGGACGGACGTGATTACTGGTTGTCTGGCCCAGAAGTAGATTGTCCTTTAGTAGTTTGTGGACCACCTCCAGCGCTTGCAGGTGTTATGTATGAAGGCGACGACAATTCATACAAGGTAAATTTTTCAAAACTTTGTTGATCAATATATTTTTTACATAATTTTGTTACCTTTAAAGTGTAGGACCATGATGAACTTGAGATCTGCTTTAGGTTGGTTCAGCGTTTACCTTTAGTTGTCGGCCACCGTATAGTTTAGTTGGAAAGTCAAGCTATGATGATCGAATCATTCGCTGCAATGTCGATGGTAACTGGGATCTTGGCGACTTACGGTGTGAAGGTAAAAATAGAAAACAAGCTGATAAGCTAGTGTCTATTAAAACCAGAGTTAATTTTAAGATAATTTAGAAACTTTTTTTGTTTATAGGACCGGTTTGTGTCGATCCTGGTTATCCCGACGGAGGAGAAATACAACTGGATTCTGTAGAAGAAGGCGCTCAAGCTAAGTTTACTTGTACTCGCTCAGGCTACCGGCCATTTCCGTCTGATACAATCAACTGCACCCTTGGCACAGCCTGTGTTTTGGCAGAAGACGTTGGAATTTCATCTGGGTTTATCCCAGATGGAGCTTTTGCAGATAACTCTGAAACCACTACATGGGGTTACGAACCTCACAAGGTAATATTAATTGTTCTGGAGGAGGGCTGTTAGGTTTAGGCAGAGACTTCATAAATCAAATGTATTATAGGCTCGAATGTCATCAACTGGTTGGTGTGGTTCAAAAGATGCTTTCATCTTCTTATCTGTTGACCTGCAAAGAATCTATACGCTTACAACATTGCGTATGGCAGGTGTTGCCGGAAGCGGGCATCTTAGGGGTCACGTAACCAAAATGCAACTGTTTTACAAGACTCAGTTTAGCCAAAATTATGATACTTATCCAGTGGTAAGTATTTGATTTATTTGATTTGTATTATATATAAAAACTCCTTATAAAGTGGTGACTTTGTGTAACTGAAGCTACTTCAAAAGAATGAACTTCAGGAATTTGCGACGCCATCGGGTAATCATAACGCCATGCATCAATTTGAACTTAATCCTCCATTACGCGCTCGATATATCTTGCTGGGTGTTACTGAATATGAACAAAATCCCTGCATTCGTTTTGATTTACAAGGTTGTCTCGCTCCTCTGTCGGTTGCTCATGAAATTCCTTCACACCTTCAGGTATTTTTTTCTCTTGAAATTTTTTAGTTTACCGAAATCAGGTGGAAATGTTGCAGATTATTTAATTCTTAATAACGATAATGAACCTTGGTGAATTTACCAAGTGGAACTTTAGGTTGGTTGGAACGCATCTGTCCCACAGTGCGTTGATAGTGAACCACCGACATTCCATAACTGCCCACAAAACCCTGTTTATGTTCTTACGGATGAAAATGGACAACTGCTGCCTGCAAGCTTTGATATACCGACTGCAGAGGATAACTCTGGTTCTATCTCCTACATCCGTGTTACACCTGAAGATTTTGAACCTCCACAAATTATCACAAAGGATATAAATATCGTTTACACAGCTTTCGACGATGCAGGCAATTCAGCAGAATGTGTCGTTCAGTTGAGGATACCTGGTATGACTCAAGAATTTAATTGGTAGACTTGTTTAACATTGAATATCAAACACACTTCTGTGCACTTATTGTTATTTGCAGATACCCAACCACCAGTAATGAAATGCCCTGATTCATATATAATTCCTGCTGTCGAAGGACAAGAGGAGGAATTAGTTTATTTCAATGATAGTTCCGTACAGATGGTAATTCAGGATATTTCTAACATATCAGAAGTTGTTTTTACTCCAACGGAAGCTCTGTTAACCCTTGGATCTCACGTGACTGTTGAAGTAACAGCAACCGACAGCGTTCTGAATAGGAATAAATGCAAATTTCAAGTTTCACTCCAACGTTAGTTATATATATTCTATTTGATGTTTAACGACATTTGTTTCATTGTTGCAATTAACGCTGTTTCATGTTCGCTTATTACTTTTCGGTAATCAACTAAAAAATCAACTTACTGTTACAGCTAAGCCTTGTTCGCCTTGGTCGCTGTTCAGCGACAAGTCTGTCAAGAAAAAGTGTGTGCAACAAAATAGTGAAACGGTATGTACAGTAGCTTGCATTCCTGGTTATATGTTCGTTGACGATGACAGCTCCCTTCACAAGTTCACTTGTGGTGCCAGTGGTTTGTGGAGCCCATCTGGTGTCGTACCTGCCTGCGTCCCGGTAGCCAAAGAACCCGCTCGTTACGAGTTGACGGTTGCAGTAAATTATTCCGTTTCAACACCCGTTGGTGCAGATTGTCTAAAAGTCAGTTTCTTTCTCAGCACTTAAAATGTAATTGCGAAGTTAATAATTGTTTTTCGATGTTTCTAAAGGTATTAATGGCAAATTTATTTATTTCAGAGCTATACGGAGTTAGTAGCAGCAACATTTGATACCCTTGACGACACATTAACCCAGCGTTGCTCGTCTTCCGTTCAAGTGTTTGTGCGATTTTTAGATGTGCATTTTACCAGCAGTGGCCGCAGTGTCAGCGCAAATTATACTATACAAATATTGCCAACCGTTCTACAAGATGTATTTTACGAATTATGCGGACTTACACTCCGGACAATCTTCGACTTGCGCATTCCAGGTATAGCGATGACCAGCGTCTCTTTTTTTAGAAAACGTACTCTTTATCAACACTATCTTTTTACAGAACTTTTTAGAGTTTACCGAAAACTCTATCAGTTTTCAGGATTCTTATTCCTTTTGCTTCTTTAGGTGCGACAACCCCGGTTAGCAAGCTTTTGTCTATTGCTGGAGACTCTATAGCTACGCAATCTGTAGCTTGTCCGTCTTTGAATGCGACAAAAACGGCAATCTCACAGGGTTTTGGTTGTGCTGACGGCGAAGTGTTACGGGGAACTGGGCAGGAAACTCTCCCAGTTTGCTGTTAGTCATTTAGCTTCTTTCTTTGATAATTTTATTACGATATTTGAAAAAGTGCTGCTAATATTTTTCAATTTTCTTGCCATTTTTCAGTTCCTTGTCCGAAAGGCTCAGTTCACGTAAATAATACATGTGAGCTATGTCCAGTTGGGAGTTATCAAGATGAAGCTGCTCAACTCAGTTGTAAAGCCTGCCCAGAACAAACTTTTACCCAGTTTTCTGGATCACAATCTGTAAACGCATGCTTACGTAAGTTGACAATCCTGCTTAACAGTTACAATTGAATATGCGCTTAAATGTGATTGACTGAAACAAAGAGATTTTAGCTGTTTGCGGTAACGGTATGTACAGCGAAACAGGTCTAGTACCCTGTCAGCTTTGTCCTCGTCATACCTTTTCGGGTCCATCGCTATTCGGTGGTTACAAACAATGTGATTCGTGCCCGCAGGTATATTTTCTGTCTTTTAAATTTTTCTGTCTTTTTGTGTAATTTGTTGGAATAATGCACAGCTGAGTTAATACTTTACTCTATGCTAATAAGGAGCATCGGAAAGAGAAGTCCTTTGATTGATGGCTGATTCAAATAGTTCCCGACTCTTTCTTCAGTAACCTTTTTTTCTTAGCTAATATTAATACTTTATCCGCTGAAAGATGGTGTTTCTAAAGCTCTCTATCTAGTTCATCAGCTTACTTCCAACATTCTTTTCAATTTAGGGGACATATACTGCAAAACTGGGATCAACTGGCCCATCGCAGTGTAAACAACCATGCCCAACAGGACACTTTTCATCAACTGGTTTAGAACCATGCTCACCTTGTCCTATTAATTGGTACCAGCCAGCGTTGGGACAACAAAGGTAAACGATTTTGTACTTTTCTGTCGCTGTTATAGAGTTTTCGATAGTTTTAGTTCATTGTTATTTCAGATGTATTGAATGCTCAAACAACACCGCGACAAGAGGTCCAGGTACTACTGAAGAAGGACAATGTCAGCCGGTTGATTGTTCTACATTTAAATGTGAAAATAAAGCTAGTTGTACTGTAGAAAAGCATAAAGCTATTTGTCTCTGCAGACCGGGGTAAAAATTTGCTTAGAAACTAACTTTTCTGGTTTTTTTTTTGAATTTTATTTACTGTTTTTGTAAAACGCTCTTTTTTGATTTGTTTTTTAGATTTACTGGCCAACGATGTGAACAACAAATGCCACTATGTGACACTCAACCATGTTTGAATGGTGGTATTTGTGAGGTTGCAGCTGGAACGTTCCGATGTATCTGTCCACAAAGTTCGTATAAACTACTATTTTTTTAATGATCGGTTCTGCAGAATTGAGGACCTGTTTTTTTCTCATAAAAACTTTATGTTTGATGCACGAGTTTCAGATTATACGGGAAGTAGATGCCAGTTTGGTCCTGATGAATGTATTGGGGTGAGTTGTCCTAATGGTGGAGTCTGCCAAGACCTTCCTGGTTTAGGAACTACAAAATGCATATGCAGGCAAGTGTTTGGCTGTATAAACTGTTATTCAAGTAATCGAAGCAATTATGGACTTAAATTTGTTAGTTAAGTTGTTTTCCTGCCATTCAATCTACTATTCATTTATTATAGAACGGGTTTTACTGGACCAGACTGCTCCCAAATAGTGGATCCATGTTCAATGGAAAATCCTTGCAAACATGGGGCCGACTGCGTTCCTCTACAGCTGGGTAGATTTAAATGTAAATGCCTTCCAGGATGGACAGGTCCAACTTGTCTAGTTAATATCGGTATGTATGATTTCTGAAAATTGCTCATTTTTTTGTAATTTTTATGCATGGCTTAATTCACTACAGATGACTGTGCTGACAATCCATGCGCGCTGAATGCAACATGTACTGATCTTGTAAATGACTTTCAATGCGAGTGTCCTTCTGGATTTGGAGGCAAGAGATGTCATGAAAAGATTGATTTATGTGCGCAGAATCCCTGTGTTAACGGTCTCTGTGTCGATGCACTTCATAGTCTGAAGTGCGTTTGTGAACCTGGTTGGACCGGAGAATTGTGTGAAACAAATATTGATGATTGTGCTGATAAACCTTGCTTGAACGGCGCCACCTGTAAGGACCAGGTGAAAATTCAGTCATTAAAAGCTACTGCTTCACAGCAAAACTTTATTTAGAGAAGTTTTATTGTTTAAGGTTGACGGATTCACTTGCCAGTGTGCTCCTGGATTTCATGGTTCTCTCTGTCAGCACATGACAAATCACTGTGCGACTTCGCCGTGTCGAAATAATGCTACTTGTGTTAACAGGGGTGCTCAATATGAGTGCCAATGTCTATTAGGATTTGAAGGTTGCTAAGCGGCCTTTATTTGTTAATTCGCTAACCTAGTTTTGCCTAATTTATAAATAATTGATTTTTGTACACTGTCATTTTCAGGAACCCACTGCGAGCACAACATCAACGAGTGCGATTTGCTTGGTAAATGTTCACAGGAAGGTACGGAACTGTGTGAAGACTTTGTTAACGGTTACCGGTGTCACTGTCGACAGGGGTACACTGGAGAGCTTTGCGAAATACATATTGACCAGGTAAATTGCCCATTTTTTTTGTTTGTGAGATTTGATCCGGGTGTAAAAAAATTATCTCTTTGTAAAGAAAGAAATTTTTCACTTATTCTTTCCTATCAATTTTTACTGTTTTTAGTGCGCTTCTGAGCCATGCATGAACAATGGAACATGTATTGATGCTGGTCCAGAATTTCGCTGTGAATGTTCTCGAGGATGGAAGGGTGCACGTTGTGAACTTGAAGACGGCTTATGTGCACTTAATCCATGCCACAATGATGCACACTGCGTAAATCTGGTTGCTGACTACTTTTGTGTTTGTCCGGAAGGCGTAAACGGCAAAAACTGCGAAACTGCTCCTAATCGATGCATTGGCGAACCATGCCATAATGGCGGTGTCTGTGGAGACTTTGGTTCACATCTTGAATGTACATGTCCTAAAGGTTTGAGACTCACATTTTTTAAGTGTTCAAATGTCTCAAGTTGTCGATTGTCAGCATGTTGAATGTTAACTTTTTTAGATTATGTTGGACTTGGGTGCCAATACGAGCTTGACGCATGTCAGGAAAATGTTTGTCAGAACGACGGTGAATGCGTTCCAACAGAACAGAAAGGATACAAATGCGTATGCAAACCAGGTACTTTACTGTTCTAATAAAACATTTTCAAAGCAGTTTTTTAATACTGCTTCTACAACAATGATTTTCTAGGATTTACGGGTAAGGACTGCGAGACCAATATTAATGATTGCGAAAGGACACCATGTCCTTTATCAGCAACATGCATAGACCAGGTTTTCGCGACTCTTCTTCTTTGACCTATTAATTGTTTATTTCTCAAAAAATTCCAAACTATTTCTTATTAAGGAAATTTTTTAGCTTAAGAAATGAAATCTTTTTTTTTGTATATTACACTTTGATTTTTAACAGGTCGATGGATACTTCTGCAAGTGTCCCTTCAATATGACTGGTGTCAACTGTGACAAAGCTATTGACGTGGATTACGATCTCAGATTTTACGATCCTCTATTACCAGCTACAGCAGCTTTGTCTATACCTTTCAAATTCTCGTCAAAAGCACTTTCGCTGTCGTTGTGGGTCAAATTTGATGCACCGTTCTCAAGAGGCACAGTAATCACTGTTTACAACAGCAAGTATACTTTTACTTTAAAAAAAAACCTTCATTTTATTACGGCTTTTATGGCGAATTGTTAAAATTATGTATTATTTTTTATTTTGTTTCATTTCTTATTAAGTTCTTTATCTTGTATGTGTGCTTTGAATTGTTTTTTAGGGAAGAGAATTACCCATCAAAAATTAGTGAATTACTTCGGGTATCAGCTGATAACGTTCATCTGAACATGTTCCATGACGAAACACCCTTGAATTTGCATTTCCCATCAAATCAACGTCTTAACGATGGTCACTGGAACAATCTGGTAATTACTTGGAAATCCGAAAACGGTGCTTATTCTTTAATCTGGAATGCTGTGCGAATTTATGCGGATGTTGGATATGGCACAAACAAAATGATTGACATCAAGTTCGTTGGCTAATTTTTTAATACGTTTAGTGAGGGGTTTGTGAAGTGATGATTCAGCAGCATTATTTATAGCATATAAAAATTGCTTTCAGCGCCTGGGTATCTCTGGGTGAAGCTATCAACGATCCTCCTGGTGAACCAAAGTTTGTTGGTTCCGTTACCAGGATTAAAATGTGGAACCGAGTTCTTGACTTTGAAAGCGAAATTCCTAGCATTGTTCACGACTGCCAGTCACCTAACGTGAGAAACAAATATTCAAGAAATTTTTTTGTATTATTACATGGGAATGAAATCAAGTTTCTTTTTTTAATTTTTAGGAGCTTTATGACGGTTTAGTTTTGCGGTTTGCTGGTTACAATCGTTTATCTGGGAAAGTTGAGAGAGTTGTGAAAAGTACATGTGGTAGAGAACAGAACGGAAGGAAGTTGGAAAAGACTCTGCAAGTAGAGACCTGCCCATCTGACATATTCGTTACCACTTTAAACAAAGAGGTTGGTAACTGTTTTGACTAGACGTACAACGAGTTTTCGATTTTAATCGGTAAAAAAGATAGATTTCTGAGTTGTTTTTTAAAAACTCTTTGCTCTTTTTTGGTTTCGTGCCTCATAGCATTATATTACTCATCAGATAGAGAAGAATAGTTTTCGTTCTACCTGTTTTTTTCTTTCAAATTTTTGCGATGTAACCTGTAGTGTAGGTTTAATTCGCAGCAAAGGTATGTTTTTTTAGGTAAACGTGTCCTGGGAAGAGCCTCGTTTTATCTCGAATGACGGCCCTATTACAATAGAAAGGAACTTAAAACCAGGTCAAGTGTTCACATGGGGTGAATACCTTGTAGTTTACCTCGCCAAAGATAAGACGTCATCGGCAGAGTGCACATTTAAGGTAAGTGTTTGATTATTTCAATTTTTTTCTTACATTTCTAGTATCACTTTTATATTTTAGATTTATGTGGTTCGCGATTTCTGCCCCGAACTTGAAGACCCACCTCACGGTATTCAAGCATGTGAATCTTGGGGTCCACAGCTACGTTATAAAGCTTGTTCTATACAGTGTGAGGGCGGGTACGAGTTTAGTATAGAACCTCCAATATTTTATTCATGTGCTGCAGATGGGATGTGGAGGCCACGTGCGGAGAATTCATTTATTTTCCGATATCCTCAGTGTTCTAAGTAAGTCATTTTACAGTAATTTCTCAGTCTGATTTATATTTTTTTGATGGAAATAGTTCTTTACTGTCCTTTTAGGGCTCATCCAGCGTTGAGAGTCGCTGATGTGACTATCAATTACCCGACAGTATCTATATGTAACGCTGCTGGGAAGAATACTTTAGCTGAGAAACTTTCTCAGCGAATAAAACTTTTGAATAATAGACGAGGAATTTTTGCACAAAAGTTGGTTTTTCTGCACTGTTTTGTAATTATTCATTTCACCAAATAATTTCTTTAATTACGCTGAATTTATAAAATAGAGTTTTCCAAGTCGAGAAATTGATATAAAATTAGGAAATTAATTTGTTTATCCAGATAGTTATAAAATTCTAGTGGTTTTAAAAGAGCAGTTTATCTAAACATTAAAAATCTTAGGAGCGATAATGGAACTGCACCATTCAATGTTACTGTGACCTGTTTATCAGAAAAAGATATTTCACGCAAGCGGCGTGCAGCGGATCAAATTTTCCATGTTCACATTGCTATTCCTATTGCCAGGTTAATAAAATTTTAGTGCATTCTACAACGTTTTTATAATTTGTACCAAAAGGTGCACAGTTTAATATGACATACTTTTTCAGTGATACGAAAGAAGGTGAAAAGGCTATCACTAAAAAGATCATTGATGTTTTAGAAGAAGAAATACTTTTGAAGGACATCTTCAATCTTGAACAGGTTGGGATTTTTTGTAACAAAAGTCTGCTTACATTTTGGAACAAATTTAAGTATTTTCAATATTCTGCTGCAGGTGCTTCCCAACGGTCGGCCAAATTTGAATTCATTTGAGCTTAAAGAGCGTTACGTTTGCGAGCCAGGGCATGTAAATGTTAGAAGTTTATGTGGTAAGTTGTTGTAAGGTACAATAAATGAGGTTTTTTTCTGCGATAAATTATGGTTCTTAAATATACGTTACAGTCCCGTGCGCTCCTGGCTCTATGTATGATGCCGCAACCAAAAAATGTCAGCTTTGTCCTATTGGTGAATACCAAACAAAAACGGGTCAGAACTTTTGTATATCTTGTCCGGAAGGGCAAATAACAACAAGCCTTGGTTCAACCCAGCTGGCGGATTGTAAAAGTCAGTTTTCTACTACGAATTATTGGACATTTTTTATTCCTAGTTTTGATTATTTATAGATCACATATAGTATATAAAGCAAACATTTTTAGCGGAATGTGAAGCAGGCCATATGTTTGATCTTCAAAAAGGGGTGTGTGAACCATGTGGTTTTGGATTCTTCCAACCAGTTCCTGGTTCATTTAGTTGTCTACCATGCGGCGTTGGAAAGACTACTTTAACAGAAACATCTGCTAGCGAGGACGAATGTCGCGATGAATGTCCAGGTTAGTAATTTATTTTTTACCAAAATTTACCGGCTTTTTCAGTGAAAAAAATATTTTGGTTGAAAATTCAAGACTTGTATAGCTATTTATACGGTTTAGATGGCGAACAGCTTGTACAGGCTGGGGTATGTCTTCCATGTCCACAGGGAACTTACCGAACAAAAGGTGTTCACAAAGGCTGTATTGAGTGTCCGCCAGGCACGACGACTGAAGGTCCATCGTCAGTTAAACGATCACAATGTAATACTCCACGCTGTACAGCCGGACAGTTCCTTGTCACTTCAACGTCAGTTGTTCAATTCTTTTATTTTTATTTATTTATTATTTATTTTTTTATTGTAGCATTTATCAGTTACCCCAATGCTTTAAGCATTGAATGATTCAACGTCAACAACTGGATTAAATTTTAGAAAGCAGTGCCAGTTTTGTCCACGTGGTACTTATCAAGAAGAAGAACTTCAAACAAGCTGCAAATTATGCCCGCAAGATTTTACTACAGCTTCACAGGGTAAACAAGCTTTTTGCGATAATTAGTTTTGAGAACCTGATTTTCTTTTGATTTTTAAAGAAAATGATGCTAATGTTACATATTTTTTTGTGTAGGAGCAACCCAAGAAAGTCAGTGTTATTCGACAAATCAATGCGCAACTGGTGAAGATGATTGCTCTTGGCATGCTATTTGTATAGATCTTCCAGATGAAAATGACGTTCCCTCTTACCAGTGCAAGTGTAAACCCGGTTACAAGGGTAATGGAACTCATTGTCAAGGTATGTTTTTTATGGTTTTTTTATGTAAAAGTGAATAGTCTCTGTCTTGTTTCTCTTTTAGTGTTATTCTTTGGTTTCAGATGCTTGTAACAATTACTGTCTTAATGATGGTATTTGTAAAAAGAATCCAATTGGTTATGTTGAATGCATATGTAAAGAAAACTTCTCTGGAGAGCGATGTGAAGTAAGGATTTTAGTTGTTAATACAAATTAGCTTTCTGGTAGTTTTTAATAATTTTGGTCTTTCCAAAGTGGCTGGTGTTATTAATAACTCACTTATTATGGTCAACTGACTTGTTTCCTTAGTTTACTTAAATTGTCCGTCAAAAAAACAAATTTTTTCGATTCCAGGCAAGACTTCAATTGAGAACGCAAAAAGTGGCGCTTATAACGGCTGGAATTGGTGGAATTGTAGCAATTCTCGTTATAATTGTTGTGATAATATGGATGATATCGTATCGTTTCAATCGTGCTGACGATCTTTCTGAGCCAGAAAAGACACCGGTTGAAGAACCTGTACAAAGCAACTTTTTATATGGCCGTGGCTCTGTCGAACAACCAAGGTACATTGAAATATATTTGTTGGCTAAGTGGATAAAATTCTCGATTTTGGCTGTATAAGTGCATATGCTTCATTGCTTTTGTTTTACTAGTGATTTACGCTATGGCTATTCATTGTACTTTTGTAGACCAATTGGATATTATTACGAAGATGACGATGAATATGATATGAAAACAATGTATGTTGGTGATGAAGAAAAAGAAATGGAAGAACGAGTACGGCATGCTCAAGCACATATGTATATTCCAGGTGCAAATCGTGATGAGTGAAACTGTTTTTTTAATTTTTGTTTCCTGATTGAACTGAGCGAGAAGGAGACGAAGAAAGGACAAAAGAGTTTTTATTAATTACTTTTAATTACTGTTAGTTTTTTGTAATTTTCCTTTGCTGTTGTTCCTTTTAATTTTTATTCTCTCTTTCCCCGTATCAGAATGCATTGTTGCTGCTGTACCATAGTTGTGAACTCATTATGCTTTTCTATTAAGAGAGTATTTCTGAGTGTTTGTGTGTGTGTGTGTCTGGGTGTCTCTGTGTCTCTGTGTCCGTGTGTGTATGTTTATGTATGTATGTGTGTTTGTTTGCCTGTGTGCTTATGTTTGTTTGTGTGTGCCTTAATGACCAAGTCGGACATTTCCGCAGTAATTAATTACAGCGGTAGCTGTCCATGGATGGAGTCCATATGGTTTGTTTCAATCCTTATTTTGCTTTTGGACGGTCTTTTGTCTATGCTACCTCAATTCTTGCCATACGCTTCTGCTCGCTATGTAAACTGTTTATTCAACGGGAATAGGCTGCGTAGCGTGCAAGGAATAAAGCTAAAATAAAACAAAAGTGAAAGAACATGAAAGAAAACAAAGGGAAAAAATTAATATGTTTTCGTGTAATTAGAAGTCCTAATTTATTTATTTGTTTATTAATTTATGTATTTATTTCAATTATTGCTTCTCGTTCTTCTTCAACGTTTACCAGTAATACTAACACCGTCATTGTTATCATCATCATTTTTTGCCATTAATATTGTGCCTTATTTTCCGCTTTTCTTTTTCTTTGTTTTTTTTCTACATTTTCTTCGTTTATTTGTTTGTTCGTTTGTTCGTTTGTTTGTTTGTTTGTTCACTTGTTTGTTTTTTTACAGTTTTTTCTTTTTTTAAATAACATTAGAAAAAAAGAAGAGAGAAAGAACTCATCGTTAAAGCGATAAGTATGGTTCTTTTGCTATATGTCTTGTGCTGTGTATTTTACCCGTAGTTTCTTTTTTTTTTTTTTGCACGATTTTCTCCATCATCTTGTGATGACATTTTTGCGAGTTTTCTTCTTTCAGATTTTGTTGATACATAATTATATAGTCGTATTTTTCTTCTGCCTCTTCTTTTGCCCTTGTTGTGTGTATTTGTATTCTGCTTCCTTGGAACTTTGAATGCGACTGATACGGAACATTGTTTCTGGTGTCTAGTCAGATATGTATAAAAAAAAGGAAAAAACTTCGTTTTTTGCTCATGCGTAGGGGGTTTTTTCTGAACTTTTTTTTTGACATACTGCAAACAAATGCAATTTTTTTGTTTAGCAACGAACAAGTATGTTATAATTTTATTCCTGCTCTTCAGTTGCAATTGTTTCAGCCAGAGAGTCGTCTTATAAATGCAAAAGCCATATTTTAGAAGTAAATAATTAAGTAGAATTTAAAAGGATGTAATTAACGCCAATTTTGTGTTCAGCATTAAAGCACTGATGAAAGTGAAATCTACTGAGCTTTTATTATTAAAAATTGTAGCGGTTTTTTAAGGTACTTCTGAAAGGTGATCATTGTTTGGCTGGACGATCTCAAATAATGCACTTATGCAGCTATTCAAGAAACACATGTCCGGAGAAGCTTTGACGTTGAATTATTCAAAGGGAATCTTACTTTTAAGAAAACTTGTATTCTCACTTTTGTGAACGCTTTTCTAACCTTTTTCAAATGGCGATTTTTTTTTTCAGCTGCAGAGGTACTTTATAATATTTATGCGAAAAATTGAAACCTTGTTAAACAGTTGCACGTGGAAATTGGACAGTTTGAAAGCTATTATAATAATATGATACCTGGTCTTTATTAAAGTAAATCTGGAGAGTAAATTAGGACATTAGAAAGTTTAGCAAATGCCACTATCGCTTGAAAACTGCTTTGTAGTGAGTGGAACGTGCGAATTTTCCATTTTTAAATGAAATAACAATTACAGAACAACTCTTTAACTTAAAATCAAAATTATTGCTCAAAAACGTACCAGTCATTTTACGGTTTATACAGTTATGCAGCTGCTTTGGCTGCCAGAAAAGTTAAACGATATGAAAAACGAGAATTAAAGTTTAATTAAGAAACCATGATATACCGTTGAACGTAATGGTTCTACGAAAGCAAATTCTGGTGGTTTATTAACAAATTCATCAATGTCTTGCCGTCGTTGTCATTGCTACAGAAAAAAAAAATCAGCAAATCAGTAAAAACTTGTATTCGTATAGCGCAGAATGTTCTTTCCGTAAATGGCCTAAAATTGAACAAAAGGTATTTCTTTGGAAACTTGATCAAATGAACTGTTTGCAGTGACTGATAGAAAGCTGTCAATTTTTATGTGATATTTTAAAAATTTTTCAATCAATCATAAGGTTGTGAAAAGTAGCCAGTTTTAATGTTCCCGTAGTGGTTACCGTACGGAAAGAGATTTTTGCATAAATCCATCTAACTTTTCTTCTTTGCTAAGATTTTATGTAACACTTTAAAATCCATTTTGTTTAGTCAGCCGTAACGGCAATGCGAACTGTGAAAGTGTTGATTTGGCGCGCTTCACCACCAGTAGGTTTCTCTTTTGCGTAATCCGACATTTGGAAGAAGGGGACGTATAGGCAGGCGCTCATGGCTGAAAAACTACTGGGGTTTTGATCATCGAAAATTTAAAAATCAGAGCTTTTTCTTATCTCTCAAAAACAGCTGTCACACGGACGAAATGCAACAAAAACTAACGCTAATTTTGTTTAGAACTTAGCCTCAATGAAAACTGAAAACTTGCCGTTTTTTCTTCTATCATTTTTTCTTTTGCTCTGGCTTTTATTCCAATATTACTACCCGCAGACAAAGTGGTTATAGAAGGAAAAGAACTTTTTTATTTCTCTTTGAAAGCTGATTGACGTGACCAGCATAATAATATCTGATAATGGCCAACTTTACTCTCTCCCTCCTCCTCTCCTTCCAGAAAAAAAATGAAAAAAAAGATTTAAATTGTACTTGACATTATTATTAGTTAATCGAAACAACACGAACTTTTATTTCTTGTTTTTAACCATATGCATATTTTGTTCAGTAACTGATGGTGTCGAAAGCAAAGATTAGAAACATTTGAGACTGACAGATTCTACGGATTTACAAATAAATACGCACAGCTGCAGTGTTGCCAACTTATTCAGATTATACATCTAGTTTATTTGAATGGATGAAAAAGCAAATTGTGTCTTTAAAAGCTTTTTGAAAAAATAAGAATGATTGATTAAGCCGATAATAATGTTTTTTAAAACTACCGTTTTACATGTGCCGATTTAATGTAACGATTTTAGAACCATTGATGATCATTTATTTGCAAACAGAATCTCAAATATCAAAATTTTATGCATTTGTGGCTTTTTTATATCATTGCTGGAAACTGTCAAAATTGATGATCTTCTCATTTATTGTTTTGCTAGTAATAAATTGTTGTTTTTAAAATTTTCTAAACAGAAATCAACACAGTTGAAAATGAAATGGTAAAACGTATAATTGTTCAAGCTCTGTTTCTTAATTATTCATTTTTACTCATTAAGGTTAGATTAAGCATTGAAAAAACGATAACTGCTCCAAAAAGTAGAAAACTATAGCTAAAGTATTCATAAATCTCAATTCTTCTGCAATATTTAAACCTAAAGAAATTTGCTACTGAAGAAAAAAGACACTGTAATTGATTAGTTTATAGTAAAAAGTAACAAAACTTCAGACCTTTCATAGTGTAGAGGAAAGAGCTGAATCACCACATCAAGATACAACATCTAAAATAATGTTTCATTTAGCACTTCGTATCTGCCTAAATTAGTATATCACTAAGGTTTGTAAGCCAAATAATCCAACTCTGTGTTACAACTATGCTCTGCAAAACGACTTCTCATTGAATGGCATAGAACGGAATTAATCTTTGCTTTCAGTTTACGTATGTTGATGTTTTTTTATAGTTTGTAAAGTACATTTATAGGTTGGTTTACCAGAGCATTAATGTTTTACTTTTATAAGAGAGCTGACAAAGTTTACGACTAGTTCTATAGAAAATTTCTGAAATAAAAATTACTTCAAACTACGTTGTTTTAAATAAGTCTTTTACTCCTAAACAATAACAAAACAAAAGCAACAACGACTCTGTGATAATAAATCTGTAAAGTCAATTATAAATAATTAGTCAAAAATGTAAAAAGGTCAACAACAACTATTACAGCAATCTTCATTAATTGATTGAAACACTGAATGATTAGTGCTAAGATTAAATTTCACTATAAGTATCTGTGCAGAATTTTTAATACTACTAAGTTTATTGCATTATACTGCACTTTATTTTTATAAAATTTTAAGGCTTTTATTTATTTATTTTTTTGCTATGGAGTAAAGAGCAATCAAAGACTAAGCGGTCTTTTCCGACGAAAAAGTTACAGCACGGGAGAACCGTTAGGAAAAACAACTTTTTCTCCTATCATTCAGTGGTTACTTAACAGAGCAGTCAAATGAGAAAGACAAAAAATTACGGAATACATAACTAAGTTATGAAAATATTAGGTGTATAGCGTTTGTTAATTGTAAAACAAAAAAACTGTGTTTATTCAGAGCCTAATTGTATACTTTGAATATTTAGTTGTCAAAAAATACAGGCTACCGTATCGTATTACAGTAGTCTAAAGGAACGATGAATAGACAGCAAAAATTGTTATGCACAAAACTGTTTTTATGTAAAGCTGTAAAATTTTTTTCACATTAACATTATTTGATGTGTTGCTATAAAATTTTCATTATCGGATGAAAGAAAACTAAATGACGGGAAAAAATAAACAAATATTACCT